CCCCCTCCCCCCCAGCTCCCATTGGCTGGTTGGTGTTTGGGGAGGGGCAGTGCGTGGAGGCCTGTGGTCCCTCTTCCTAGAAGCCGGACCCGCTGCTGGCCACTTCCGGGGCGCAACGCGGTGTCAGAGCAGGTCGGGACTAGCCTGCCTTACCTGGGCAGCACCACCAACGGGACTCTTAACGTTCCGGACGGTAGTGCTGACCAGAGCAGCCAGGGTCCCTGGGTGCTGAGCAAGGCAACCCAGTGCCTTACATGCCATGACCCAGTACCGGGTCGCAACCTGAACTTTGAAAACACTGGTCTAAGGCCCAAATCCTGTAACGTGGGTAGACTGCAGTGCCCATGTGGATCTGGACCCAGGTGTGCAGGATTGGGGCCTAAAGAAAAGACTTCCACATAGTTTGGCTTTTAATATACTTTTCCTGTTTTGTTAGCAACATAAAGTAAATTCTGAAATTTTAGTCACTTTCCCAGTTACTCATTTCCCTCTCCTCTTCCCTCCCCCAGATCTAGTCATTGCCCCCTCCCTCAGAAATCATTAACTCCTCTGTTACAAAAAAATGCCCGTCAACTACAGGTGCTGCTGTCAGTGATGCTCCTGAAGTGCATGCCGTGCATGCCCTGCTGCTTTGGCTGCCTCCTCAACTTGTGCCTTCTGCCTCCTAGAAAGAGCCTGGGGGCTTCTGTAGGCTGCATCACAGGAGACATCGTGGGGGCTTCAGGGGAGAAGTAGGGTGCTAGTGGCCCTACAACCCCCATAGTTGCTTTCCATGGGGGCAAGTCAGGATCCTTTGCTTATCCCGGCAGTTCCGGTGCACTCCCTTCAGGGAGCGCTGGAGTCTTATATTTTCTAATCATGGCCAATATGGTTTGTGTGGGATTCTTTCTGTGTTTGTTTAAAATTCTGGGACCATGAATTAGAACAACTTACTAGAAGCCAAAGCATTCTTGGATCAGTCATATGAAAATATTGGCTGACTCTGGTCTTGCAGTCCAGAGCAGATGTAGGAAGTGTATATAGATGCCATAGAATAAAACTACCTCTGCCAGGGTCTCATCAGATCCCCAGGATGCTGATGGGTTATCACTCTCCTAATAAATGAGGGAAAGTGATTTATAGAATAAGGCTGTTATGCTCTCCGTGTTGCTAGCCACATGTATTCAGAAATCAGAAGCATGATTTTTTCTCCTTTTCTTCCCATTCCCCTTCCCCGCCCCCCCAAAAAGGGGCTTAAAAACGGTGACCTTTTATAAATGATTTTTTTTTTTTTTTTTTTTGCCTTCAGGTATTTTTGAGCTTTTTATATGGAAGCCTTCACCCCTAATCTGTGTGTGATCATTTCAAGCTTCAAATTCAACCTTAAATGCATTCACACGAGATTTCGTTGCTTGCTCAGAGTAGGACTCTTCTTAATCCCTCCTATCCTCTGGTGTTTGGGAAGCTGTAATTTTTCCCACTCTTTTGCCCCCTTCTTTATCCATCCAGCCCCTCCCTCACCAATTCTCACACTCCCTCCAGGCTCTCCCATACTCTGTTGTCCCACACAGCCCTGCCCCCATCTTCTCTCCCTTTCCCCAGCCCCTTCAGTTTCCTTCATAAAAATTGCCAATTATTCAGACCCTATTTTGATTTTATAGAGTTGTTTTAATATTATGGTACTGCTTTGAGACTTCACTTGGGATCAAGTGCCCCATTGTGCTAGGTGCTGTACAAATGCAGAGGTATACATAGTCACATTAACACAACTGTAGCAGTGACAAGTTAAAGGTGGTATGACTGCTTCTGAAATTTAAGGAAGTCGGATGCTCAGCTGGTTCTGGGACATGTTTAGTGACTGAGGTGCACACCTGGCAGGAAGTTTATGAAGGTATGCTGTTGGAAGCAGATATTTCCAAAACTTGTAAGGGAATGTGCTTAATAAAACTGCAATCAAAGAAGAATATCTCAAATTCAGATGCATGAAGGAAGTGATTTTTTTTTTCCCTGATGGAGAAGAGGAGATCAGACTCTGTAGGCAGACTTTCTAAAGAAATCCATAAGTGCTTTAGAAAAGAAGTGCCATTAAGATAAGACAAAAGTACAGTTTCTGTATGTACTGCACTAAAGGTAGCGCTAGGAAAGTGGCATTGAAAATGTGTCCCTAGAAGTGGTGCATTAGTTCACCTTTCTTTTTTTCTTCTTGACGATTATGGATTCTAATGGACCACAATGACCTTTTAACCTTCAGACAGCCCTGAATTTTAGGGAATCTATGAAGAACTAATTGAGGATGGAGTTCAGGTTTTTTTCCTTTCCTCATCACTAGGCGTAAGGGCTTCAAATTTAAGTGAAAATTTTTAAGTTGAAAACTGCAGTTTGGCTGCCTGATAGTCCAATAAAATAGCCACGTGCCCCTGTGCAGGGGTGGATGGATGGCAGCATTTGAGACTATAATTTGGTCTTTTGTTCATGGGCCAGCAGTTTGGGCATGCAAGAAAGTTGACACTCTGCTTCTTGAGATTGCTTGCCTTTCCCCCTTTTCGGATTGGAGGTTGAGCTCCAAAGAAAGCTTTTGCATCTTTCTCTTCAACGAGGGCTGTGGGAATGGCATGCAGACCAGGCTGGGGTTTCTTAAGGAGTTTTCCATTGAGCATGAAAGGAGCTCTCCTTTCTAGGGAATGTGATGATTGCATAGAAGGCTCCCAGTTTTTCCATATAATCTTGGATGCTCATGCAGTCTCTTATACACCACACGTATTGCTACTGACCTAATAAGTTTCATGTGTTTTTTCCCTGGCTCTGCTGAGCTTACGGAAGGCCCTGTTACAGAGTAAGTTCACAGGAAAGGAAGCAAGTGAGTTGACCAGTTTCCACTTGTCTCTTGGGAGGGGGAAAAAATCTGGAATCCTTATAACAAAAATATTCACAGCTATGTTGGTTCTCAAGGGAAAAAAGTGCTGAGGTATGTTAATGTGATAACCATTTTGGTGGGGCTCCCCTCCTCCCCCAATTTTGGGGGGGAAAGGTATCAGGTTATAAAGTCAAAATTTTCCTGTCCTTGGAGGCTGGACAATTTTTATTTATATGTAATAAAAATAAAAAAGCATGTAAGGTAAACTGTTCAACTTCACTGTGATTTGCAAAGATACAATGCACAATTTTGGGAGAGGATGCTGTGTTGTGTTGCATAGGCTCGCTGCACTCTTCCTCAAGATTGCCATGAACATTAGAGGTTAGGGAATTTGTATCAACCTCCAGGCAAGTTTTGTATCAAAATCCAAAACAACGCAAAAAATTTTCATCCAGCACATCTTCATATATAACTGAATATAAATGTAAATGTGAGAACCAAATGCAGATGGTTCAACAAGCACAGCTTGTCTTTAATGTATATTCCCTGCTATATATTTAAATTATACATAGATTGCACATGTACATTATAATACTGTTTTATGTATTTACACATATATAGTCATCACTATAAAACTCACTAACTTAAAAGCTCCCAGCAAAGGCAGTTCTTACTCTGTGATAGTAAAGGCGTATTGAACTAAATTGAGCCCTGTCATGTGGCACTAAAACACTGAGTGCCAGGAAAATGGACCAAAACCGAATTGCAAGAAATTCGAGTTTCATTGCCCTCCTGTAATGTTCAAAAAAATAATCCTTGTGAAGTTCATGAGATGATGGCTGTGTTCTTGTTAGAAACAGGGCCTTCAAAATAAAATCCTAATCACTCTGTTTTAGTGCCCTGTCAAGGCTCCTAAATATGACTTACGCTTTTAGCTTTTAAAGAATGGCTGTTGGCATAACAACGCACTAGGCTATGGCAATTCCATTTTCTGATACCAACCCTCCCCTCTCCAGCCCTGCACACATGTGCTTGCTTAGGCCCTGATCCTGCTCTCATTGAAGTCAAGGGCAAAACTCCCACTGACTTTAGTGGTGTAGGATCAAGTCCTGAATGTTAGAGTTCAGAATGCTGTACTCAGACTTTCTTCAGGAAGTAGGTCCATACCAACCTCAACTTATCTGTTTCCTTGTCAATCTCCAAACCCAATATAATTTCTAGTTTCCAAAACCCTGTGTGGATTTGCCCCTTCGTTCCTTTCAGAACTCATGATTCCTTCTGCCCTTCTCTTTGACTTGCTGTTCCTAAACTTTTGCTGCCCCAAGTCTATAAAGAACTTTTCTCCCTCCTCCTGTAAGTCAATGACTCACTATTAAATCTAAGTCTCCTTCCTTGAATTACAATTAAGTTATATGCATTTCAGACCATCTTATGTTTTGTTGGTATGTAACTAGGAATTACATTCCTATTTACCCAAAATGGAATTTTTAATAATGTTAATTAGGTGTCTGTCTAAAACTATTCAATTAGCTTGGCATTTCAGTTTTGAACACAGAGCTTTTCAGTTTCCTGTAAATTGAATATTTGCAGTGGTGTTGTAGCTGTGTTGGTCCCAGGATATTAGAGAGACAAGGTGGGTGAGGTAATATCTTTTATTGGACCAACCTCTGTTGGTGAGAGAGACAAGCTTTCAAGCTCACACAGAGCTCTTCTTCAGGTCTGGGAAACTAACGCAGACCCAAAGAAGAGCTCTGTGTAAGCTTGAAAGCTTGTCTCTCTCACCAACAGAAGTTGGTCCAATAAAAGATATTACCTCACCGACCTTCTCACTGTAAATTTAATGCACTATTATTTATTTCTATAGTGGTAGTGGCGGAACCAGAATCAGGGTCCTATTGTCCGTGTCTAGTACAATCCCAGATGAAAAAGCCATCTCAAATTCTGAAGAGTTTAATCACTGAAGGGATTAAATACCAAAATAGGGGGTCAACTTTCTCTTTCCATTCCCTTACAATCGTCCTTGAGTATATGTGATTTGTTTGCAAGAAGTTGCTTTTTTTTCTTGAGTAGGAATAATTTTGTTAAACAGCATTTGCATGATTAGCATTATAAAGGAGCAGTTCATTTATTTTATAGCATCTCTTTTGTCTCCTGCCCCGTTGTATAGGTCAAGTACATATAAGTCACAAGGCACTGATGTGTTTGTTCGATATACTCAAGGAAGTTGGACTGGAGTGCTTGGCACTGATATCATTACCATTCCAAAGGGAATCAATGGCACTTACACTATCAACATTGCTACCATTCTGGAATCGGAGAATTTCTTTTTACCGGGGGTTAAATGGCATGGGATCCTTGGACTTGCCTATGATGCCTTAGCCAAGGTAAGGCTCCTCTCCTGACCCACCTTTCATGATTAAAACAAAGCCAAAAATAAAAACAAGGTAATGAAGGGAGATGCTTTCAAATGTCATGGAGCACTCCCCTGAAGGCTTTAGACTCCTTGTTTTTTCTCCTCCCACTTCTCCCCACAAGCCCTTAGCAAAGTTATCAAAGCCAGTTACCCCATGTCCACTGGGAGCCTATCAGGTTTGGCAGATCCCAGCAAGCCTAAATGGAGTTGTTGCCCCCAATGAAGATTTAGGTTTATCTGGGGGCTGATGATCCAGTTTTTGCTCATTTGGTCTGAACAATCTTCTAGTGGTGGAAGGGTTGGCTGTTGAACACAAGGTAAGTAAAGTCTGGTAGGAGGCCACACGTCTCCTAATACATATAAGTTTGGGACATGGAGCGTTCTTGATTAATCTCTTTATGCTTGCTTGGAAGCTGATGCATGTACTAGACAAAGCCCCATGTTGCTTATTTTATTTCACACAAACAAAAACCAAACATGCATTAAGAGTTGGAATATGTATATCTGTAATGTGGGGGGGGGGGGAACTTTTACAAAAACGTGCATAGGGTGTGTTATTTTTATAAACCACACACAGCCCTACTATTAAAAAACCAGAAAATTTGGAGAGAGAAGGTTAAATTTACAATAACTCTAGAGATCTGGAAATGAAAATCGGACCACCCAAACTACTTTAACACTACATTCATTGTGCTGCGCTGAGAAATCCAGAAACTCAAACTTACCCACTTATAACATACATTGTGTTATCAGTTGCCACCAGAACTAGAATGCTTTACTCCTAATTGGATGGCAATTACATTGAGTTCAACCTTCTTTACTGTCATTCACTGGGGTAGCAGGGAGGGAAGGAAGCTATTTTTCAAATTGCTGATTAGGCAAATAACATACTCAAGGATTTTGCTCTCTTTTTATTAAGGCCTTGGTCTTGTGAAGTTCTACGGGTGCTCACCTCACAGGATCAGGCCCTAGTATTCTGTGTGCCAAACAAATAGCCAAGTGTTATGAAATGCAGAGCTGATATATCTTAATATAAAACCTGCCCAGCCTAACTGTTTTTATAGAAAATGTAAAGGCTAGCGTGGGGGCACAGAATCACTCTAGATATGTAGTGTGTGACACCAATTATTAAACTAATAGTTAATTAAGTGCATTTTGATATTCCACCCCTTCCAAAGGAAGGAAGGTGAGACTTAAAGACACTGAAGATTAGAGTTAAAATCTGAATTGCTGGATGATTCAGCTCTAAAATGCTGCCATTTGACCATGGAAAAGTGGCAGGGAAAACTGATTCCTGATTCTTCTGCTGACCCACGGTGCAATATATGGCAAATACTTCTGCAGAAATTGAGTGCCCTTGGGCGCTTTTAGCAGCGAAATTTGTCAGGAGCCAATACTGCAATCAATGAGTACACTGATGTCTTCTGGATGCATGTAACAATGACCAAGAATAAAAATGTGTGTGAGAAATATCTAGAGAAAGGGAAATAACAAAAGTTTCTGTTCCGTTCTCCTTTCCAGTTGTCAGAAATTCATCTTCATCCAGTGAAGAGGGATTTTATGTGATTGATTTTGTGGAAGCAGAGAGTTTTTCTCCGACAATTTGCTTGTTTCTACAAAAACTTTTTTAAATGATTCTTAAAGCAGTTTATCATCTGTGTGAATAATCCTGTATTTATCTGCCTCTTTTTCCTCCTCCCTCCCCCCCACCATACTCTAGCCTTCAAGTTCGGTGGAGACATTCTTTGATTCCCTTGTGAGTCAAGCAAAGATTCCCAACGTTTTCTCCCTGCAAATGTGTGGTGCTGGAATGCCTGTTTCTGGAAGTGGTACCAACGGAGGTAGTCTTGTGGGTATCTGTCAGTCTGAAAGGGAAAAATCATCCAAACTAATCATTCTGTCGCTTTCCAAAATTAATAAACATAAGAAATCTATTTTTAATTTAAAAAGTTTAAAGTGCCTCTTTATTCTTTCCATCCTTCATCCATTTTTACTTAAATATGCTTAACTAATTACCTTTTGTTTTTTTCTTTTGATTTTTTGCTTTTTTTTTGAGCCAACCACTACATTGTATATTGAATTTTGTCTTTTTAATTAGAAACTTGTAAGAAAGAAGCACTGTCCCTTAACATCTTCACTTGAGGCCAGATTCACCACCTTTGCTCACACTGAGTTGTACCTTACTCTGCAAGTAACATAATTCCAATTAACAGGAACACTCGGAATACAGTCGTACTTGATGTAAATAAGGCTGGCAGAATCTGGTCCCTACTCCTTACAAATTTTTGCTACAGTTATTTTTGACAAATGTGTAAGTTAATACACTTGAGAAATGTGTATGACAAGGACCAAATTCTGATCCTATTGTATGGCCATTCTTATGTACAAGTCATCTAGCCCAATATCCTGTCTTCTGACAGTGGCCTGTACCAGAGCCTTTAGACGGAATGAAGAGAACAGGATAATGTTGTGTGATCTGTCATTTAATCCCCGCATTTGGCAGTTGAAGATCTACGACACGTAGAGCATGGGGTTTTGTCCCTGGTTATCTTGGCTAATACCATCAATGGACCTATCCTTCATTAACTTATCTAATGCTTTTTTGAACCCAGTTATTCTATTAGCTTTCACAACATCCCTTGGCAATGAGTTCCACTCACCCACCAGCATGAACTACTGTCATTCCAGCATATTTTGTACCCCACTATTATTCTGTTTCATGGATTATCTTCATTCCACCAAATTTCTGCAATGCCTATTATATCAGTATCCTCATTTAATGCCAGGCACTCTAGTTCACCCATCTTAGTATTTAGTCTTCTAGCATTTGTATATACGCACTTGTACATTTTGTCAATAGTCAGTTTGCCTCCATGTGTTTATATTTTAATGGGATTCTTTTATGTGTGACTGTTCCTCACTAGCTACTACCTGCACTTTACCAATTTATAGTCTAACACAAAGAATAGGAAATAGAGTTCCCCCTTTAATAAATTAATCCCTACGGGATGTCTCTGCCCAAACTGTGTGCTCCTCTGCACCTGTTGGCTTTCCCCCAGCCCATAGTTTTAGAAAAATTCCTCTACAACCTTTTTAATTTTACATGCTAGCAGTCTGGTCCCATTTTGGTTTAGGTGGAGCTCATCTTTCCTGTATAGGCTCCTCCTTTCCTCAAAGGGTCCTAATAAATCTAAAACCTGCCTCCCTACACTATCATCTCATCCACACATTGAGACCTTGTAGTTCTGCCTGTCTGCATGTGGAACTGGAAGCATTTCAGAGAATGCTATCCTTGAGGTCAGTAAGACAAAGAAACGGCCTTAAATTAAAACTAACTAACTTAATTGTACCTTTGATACAGTAAACAGAAATAGAAATGCTACCAGGAACTACTAATGGTAGCATTGGCTCAACTGCCATATTGCATTTCTCTTAAGTGCATCTAAAAATTGCATTATTAGGCTATATTAACTCTTTTGTACTCTTAAGAGAATTTTTAATGCGAAGGCTTAATGCTCTTTCCCATTCTTGTGTGTTGCCTAGATTCAGCCTTGGCAGTACCATTAAAAACACTGTTTAATTTTAACTCAAGAAGGGAACGACCATAAGGAAATCAATTTGAAGTTGGCAGGCGTTGCGGGTACTTAGGATATTTCAAGAGGAGTTTGACTTGTTAACTATAGCAAGTGCCCTCTGGCATCTTGACATTTGAAATACTTGAAATATATCCTTTTATCCAATTGTGTTCAACAGCCGAATTTTTGAAGATGGAGCTCAGTAAAATTTCTTTGCACTGTGTAATCAGTTATCTTAGTTTTTATGCATGTAGCGGGGGGGGGAAAGTTTGCATTACTCTGAAACTTACGATTTTCTCTCTTCAGGTCATGGGTGGAATTGAATCAAGTTTGTACAAGGGTGATATCTGGTACACCCCTATAAAGGAGGAATGGTATTACCAGGTTGAAATTCTCAAACTGGAAGTTGGAGGCCAGAACCTTAACTTGGACTGCAGAGAGGTATTTGTCTATAGATTAAAAAAACAAACAAACAAAAACCTAACTATTTTTTAAGCAAAGATTCCATCCATTTGGTTTAGAACAAAAGTGAAGCAATCAAAGTTAAACTCTGAAATGTACCGCCCTTCTAAATGGAAGTATGTTGCAGCCCTCTTTATAAGATTTAAAAGTCAGTGACAACCTGTGAAAAAGAACAAACTTTGTACATTTTAAACAATACAATGTGTGTGTGTATATGCCAAACACATTAAAAGGAAAATATTTCAAACTGCACTGTCACAGGGTGCAGGGCTGGCTCCAGGCACCAGCATAGCAAGCAGGCGCCTGGGGCGGCCAATGAAGAGGGGGGCGGCACGTCCGGCAATTCGGCGGCGGGGCCGTCGTTCCCTCTCAGAGCGAAGGACCTGACGCCGAATTGCCGCCGATCGCGGCTTTTTTTTTTGTTTGTTTTTTTGCTGCTTGGAGCGGCAAAAATGCTAGAGCCGGCCCTAGCAGGGTGGGTTCCTGAAATAGGTCCAATGTCTCTGTGCCAGAACAGCTGCTCCCAGTTGAGCCAGTTAAGAGGGCAGGGCTGACTTTGGGCTATAAAGGGTCTGAGGGAATTCCGTGAGGGTAAAACTAGAAGGGGAACTGCAGTGTTTATCATTTGTGTTTGCTAGCTGGTGTTTTTTGTTTTTGTTTTGTTTTAAACATACAACAACATGTCTTGGCCACAACCTCCTCCCCCAATTCCCTTTCCCTTTGCTCCATAGAAGCATTTCTGCACACATGCTGAGTGAACACTGAATGGTTCAAGGTAATGCTTAGACTCTCGGCATTTTTTTAGCAGTGCTCAGCAATCTGCAGGGCCGAGCACTACCAAAAGAAAACCAAAATATCTTTTGGTTTCAACAAGATTTGAGTTTAATCCGCGCATTTCAGAGCTGCATTAAAAATATTCCATGTAATTGATATTCATTAAACTTAAGGATTTCAAATTGTGCTACTACTTCTGTAATTTAAGAGTGTAAACTAATTAAGGACCCTGTTTCCTTGTTTGTTTTGTTTTTAAATTGTGCCATAAACATCCAACTCTCAAATAATATTGCATATATTGGTTCAATTGATAGAAAAAGCATTCATAGAAAAACCTACCATTTCCACATGATTTTATCATTAACAATAATCACTAACATGTATTTTGTAAAAGGCATGCCTTGTTAATGTTTATGTATTCATATACTGTACTCATGCTTGAAGCTTCTTAATTTATTGTATTTTGTATAGTGAAGAGAAACATGTCCATTTTGAAAGCATGGATTATAATGTGACAAGACTTGAATTCACCATTCTGGTTCAGTAGTTCCTTTTGCACTTCTGACTTTTTTTCCTTTGTTTCTGTAGTAGGCAAAAAAAAAAAAAAAGGTAAAAAGTAGGTGAAGTGCTTGACATTTGTACTGTTGGTGGTGACTCAGGACAAGCAGGAGGGAGGACTGAAGTTCCCCAATTACTTTTTAAGTCAGGTGCATAGTACTGTAGGTCATAATACGTCAGCCTGCTGTAGTATGTTCAACTATGGGGGAAACCTTAATTCAATGTCTTTCATTCTTAGTCCTCATTTTAACGCAGGTTGCCAGCTGTAGAGTGCTGTCAGGTTACATGAAGTAAAGATTTTATGATGACTGCTACTGAAAAAGAACAGTCTAGTCATTGTTATGAAGCAACTGACTACACCATTTAACCTGCATACGGTGTATAAACTCTGTTCCTTCCCTCTTGTTCTCTTAGTATAATGCAGACAAAGCGATAGTAGACAGTGGCACCACTCTCCTCCGTCTGCCCCAGAAAGTCTTCAATGCTGTGGTCGAAGCAATTGTGAGCACATCTTTGGTAAGCTGATCTTGTAAAACCTGCCTTGTTCCTTGAAGGAAAACCTGCATGTGAATATTTTCAGGTGTTGTCTAGCACAAGAGTTCATGAGTTCTCAATCTGGGGGGGTCCTGAACTGGTGTGTTTGGAGGTTGTGATCACCCTGCACATGTTGCTAAATGGGCAATGGCTCTGGGTAGGGTTGGGTCCCAGTATGGAAAAAGGGGTCCTAATATGGAAAAGGTTGAGCACTTTTGCAGTGGCGTAATACTTGTTCTGATGCACTGAAGAACCATTAATGTAATACCTGCTTCTCAAATTCAGTGTACTTGGGCCTGACAATTAGTTCACTGATTCAAAAGTAAATGTTCATGAAACATAAAGGGCTGATTCTGCAAGAGATTCCTGTCAGGCATAATGCCTACTGTCATTAAAGTCTCGTGGACTTCAGTGAGACTATTCATATCTATAAAGCTACTTATGGGTCTGATTCTGCCACCATTATGTTTAGAGGCATCTTGCTCTCGAACCAGTCCTACTGAAATCAGGACTGTTCATGGAGGGGGAGTCGGAGTGTCAGACTCTGACTCACATGAGTAATGTTAGCAGGATCATGTTTAGCATCCGATATATTTCAGTAGCTGTACTTTCTACTGCAACACAGTGCTGTAGTAGCACTTTCAACATGCTTTGCTTGTGAAAGGCACTGTTTCATTGAAATATGACATTTGCTTAGATTAACATTCTGTTAAAAAGTGGTGGTGGGAGGGGGATTCTTAAATACAGCTAAAATCTTTATTTCAGTGACCTTCAGGGTCCATTTATGTGGTGTAAAGCCATGCCTCCCGAAATATATTGGTTTGGCATATAAAAATAAGGCAGGCAAGTATAATGTAAGAAACTATTATTCTTGAAATCAAAGCAAGCATTCAAAACCTTATAGTCTTGCCCTGTCCACGCTGTATGCCAGCACACAGTATTTTTCAGACTGCAAGGTCGGTCTTCCTAGAGAAGGTTGAGAGAGAAAAGAAGTATTTTTTCTTTCTAGATTATTTTTCAGTAGGACAGACCAAAGGCTGAGACCTTCAAAGTGCTGAGCACTCTGTCCTGGGCCAGCCAACCACTTAGCATGTGCTTAACTTCAAGCACACAAGTAGTCCATTGACTTAAATGGGACAACTCCCATGATTTAAGTGCTTAGCTGGCCCAGGAACAGTGCTTGCCCCTTTGCCATACTGAAGCCCTTAACACAGAGCAGCCTGTTCAGTGCTGGATAGCCCACTGGCAACTTTGATCTTCCAGAGTCCTTTGTGGAAATGAGCAGGTCACCATCTCAAAACATTTCTCCAAACATTGCTGTTATGATGATGTCACCCATTCTTTGTAAAATAAGTGGTCCCTATACAACGTGTGGGAGGAGTACTATGGCATCAGTTCATCTGACCTTGCCCGAAAGGGACCAAGGTTGGTTCCGTAGTTAGGATGTTAGCCTGAGACTTTGGAAATCCTGCTGAATTCCCTGCTCTGTGTGTGACCTTGAATAAGTCACTTAATTTTTATGTGCCTCAGTTCCCCATGTGTGAAACAGGGATAATAACACTTCTCTACCTCAGTGGTGACATGAGGCTAAATTAAAAATTGTGAGGTGCTCAGATACTATAGTAATGGGGGTTATACAAGAACGATAGACAGGTATTGCATTAGGAAATGTTGAAATCTAAATGATTGATGGCTGTGTTCTGACTTCCAAGCAGGAGGGTTTTTTTTATTCACATTTATTTTAAGACTTGGAGAAAGTTTTAAGCCCTGTTTGCAAATACGTGTCACCACTGGAATTTTCTATAACTAATTTCTGGGTATATGGCTTCAATTTGTTATGAGAGTCTATTATGGTGAATACGCATAAATAAACCATGTAAAAGAAAGTTAGGTTTAGCTTTTTTGTTCGCCTACACAGAATGTTTGGTGTGATGGTGTTTCTTACAGCAAGGTACGGTGTGGTGTGTTTCATAAGATACAGGAACAGGCACAAAGTACTGCACAGGATTAAGGAAGTGTGTTTGCCTTGTCTGGCATCATGTCAACATTTATGTGCTTCAAGGAGTAGGACGGGATGTTTTTCTTGGGTGGGGAAGCTCTGCAAGGGTTTATTGTTTGCTTGGTTAGTACCATGGCTTATTAAGAAATGCTGTTAATCTGTTTTATTTCAAAAGCATGTCAAGTTGTATGAGGGGTAAGGCAGGAAAAGGGACTAAAGGCCTGATCCAAAGTCTGCTGAAGTCAGTGGAAAGGTTCCCTTTGATTTCAGAGGGCTTTGGATCAGGCCCTAAATTCATAGTTTGGAAGTCGCATGAAGACAATAGTGTGTCTCTGGAGAAGGGAGAAGGTTCTTGACTTTGTTAGATTGTTTGTGTTTAAAATGTACCTACTCCTTTGTATCTGTGCTCAGCTCCAGATGTACATGAAAGTTTGTGGAGTGGGTGGGGAAGGAGCAAAGGTTAGTTTACTACTTTTCCTGTTTGATGTTGCAGTAATTGCTCAGGGAGCTCATGAGTTTGACCATCCTGCCTACATATTTACTGCAGTTAGTTAAATAGTTTCTAACAATTCTGTCCCTGCTGCCAAGGCTAAATTAGTTTTTTGATCCACAGACCTAATAGAAATGTTCATGTCCCACAGTCCTTCCAAAATCCTACCACTAGGCATATTAGTCCTTATATGTTTATGCCACAATAAGATTTTTGAATAGACTGTCTTAACACTAATCAGTTTGATGCATTAGAACAGCCTGAAGGGTTGACGTGACCTCACTGATGGCTTATAATGTATACAAGCTTCATGCGTCTTATCACAGAAGAAGACAAACACCTCCACTGGTCTTGTCCACCCCTGAGCTCCCCTACTTAAGGGAGAAGAAAGCATGCCTGAATACTAAAGAGATTAAAATTATTGTTTTATGCATCTATCAGAGGATATGTAACATGTATGTATCACATTTTTTTCCGTAGATCCAAGCATTCTCCTCTGGATTCTGGACTGGTTCCCAGCTTGCATGCTGGGATAAGACTGAAACACCATGGTCCTTATTTCCTAAACTTTCTATCTACCTGAGAGATGAAAACTCCAGCAGATCATTTCGGATCACTATCCTACCACAGGTTTGAACTTGTCTTATTATTTGGATTTGATCAGCCACACTACAGTCTAATAATTCCTTACAGCAATAAAGAAGTAAACTTTATGATGACCTAGTTCTTTCATCATTGCATTGTACAGCTTCCCTGCTCATCCCATTTGTATAAAACTATTTTGGTGATACAGAAATAATCAAGCCCAATCATTTCTTTTAACTATCATTGGAGTTCCTACTTACAAAAAACATTTGTAATGGTTGTCTGAACTGGGCTACTTCTAGATCTGCTGAACATTTTTGATGAAATTTGAAAAATAAATTTTAAAAGGGAAAAATGTCAATGACACTTTGCAAAAACATCCCCATTTTTTCACTAACTGTGGAGCAGAAGGGGGATTTTTCAAATTGTCAGGAAAAAATTTCAAGAATGCTTTTGTACTCCCCTTCTTCCCCCCCTCCCCCCCCCCCCAAAAAAAGCATCAGTTCTGTCTACATCAGACACCAATACATATTTTTCTTCAGCTGATTTTGATCTTTCCATTTTGGCAAACAAACGTATTCCTCTCCCCCATGATAGTGTGAGGTAAGGCCCTTCTTCCTGAAAATGACACTCTTGGCAAAGGACCTGTATGATCCCTTTGCCAATTTCCATAACTTGGTCAATTTGTTTTTATTGTCATTATAGTCTCGATGCAGTATGTACTGCCTGGCTTTTAAAATATAATGTGCCACTTCTGCTTTAATCATAAACCAATATAATTCCTGATTGCCTTTTCAGCATTGGTGGCAATATGAACTAAACATCAATTAACATCAGTTTCACACCCTCTTACCTTGGCTAAAACATATAGGTATACTTAACATGAAATAGAGCAAAGGCTTGATGTAAGCTTTTTCTGTATGGACCATGTAGCTTAACAGTCTTTCATCCCCAAAGTGAGAAACAAGGGTGTGGAACTGACTTTAGTTTATTCATTTAGAGGCTTGAAGCTGACATGAATGCTCTCTAGATCCACTGCATCCAGAGAATCCTTTTGAATATTCCTGTAACTTGAATGCATATCCCTCGCTCCCTCCTCCCCTTCTCCCCCCCCCTCTGCGCGCACACACACACAATACAAAATGTAAAAAGGTCACTTAGATGAAAGTGAAGGTGACCTTTAAGTGTTAGCTAATTAAAAGTCCCAATTTAACCTGTGTTCCTGGTTCTTAACTCCATTGACACTCTGCCCAGTTTTAAGTATCTTACAACACTCATTTTGCCCTAATTCATTCATTTCTTATGAACTCCTGAGTGCTCAAAATTAGATATCAAAAGCTCTGGAGAACACTCCAGATTAAGGGCCGTGTTTATGCATGCTTCCACAGTTATGAGCTAATGTCATTATCTTCTAAATACTGTGGATTACTGCTACTTATTTTATTTATTATTTATTTGAATGAACAGCTTTATATTCAACCCATCCTTGGGATTGGACAGAATTTAGAATGCTACCGGTTTGGCATCTCTTCCTCCAGCAGTGCCCTGGTTATTGGTGCTACAGTTATGGAGGGCTTCTACGTTATCTTTGACAGGGCTCAGAAGAGAGTGGGCTTTGCAGTTAGTCCGTGCGCAGGTAAGAGAAACATTCCCCATGGGAAATATCTGCCATTTTCAAAATTGGAGCTTTATCAGCTGCTCTGTCAACAAGGACGATTCATAGATTCTAGGACTGGAAGGGACCTCGAGAGGTCATCGAGTCCAGTCCCCTGCCCGCATGGCAGGACCAAATACTGTCTAGACCATCCCTGATAGACATTTATCTAACCTACTCTTAAATATCTCCAGAGATGGAGATTCCACAACCTCCCTAGGCAATTTATTCCAGTGTTTAAGCACCCTGACAGTTAGGAACTTTTTCCTAATGTCCAACCTAGACCTCCCTTGCTGCAGTTTAAGCCCATTGCTTCTTGTTCTATCCTCAGAGGCTAAGGTGAACAAGTTTTCTCCCTCCTCCTTATGACACCCTTTTAGATACCTGAAAACTGCTATCATGTCCCCTCTCAGTCTTCTCTTTTCCAAACTAAACAAACCCAATTCTTTCAGCCTTCCTTCATAGGTCATGTTCTCAAGACCTTTAATCATTCTTGTTGCTCTTCTCTGGACCCTTTCCAATTTCTCCACATCTTTCTTGAAATGCGGTGCCCAGAACTGGACACAATACTCCAGCTGAGGCCTAACCAGAGCAGAGTAGAGCGGAAGAATGACTTCTCGTGTCTTGCTCACAACACACCTGTTAATACATCCCAGAATCATGTTTCCTTTTTTTGCAACAGCATCACACTGTTGACTCATATTTAGCTTGTGGTCCACTATAACCCCTAGATCCCTTTCTGCCGTACTCCTTCCTAGACAGTCTCTTCCCATTCTGTATGTGTGAAAATGATTTTTCCTTCCTAAGTGGAGCACTTTGCATTTGTCTTTGTTAAACTTCATCCTGTTTAACTCAGACCATTTCTCCAATTTGTCCAGATCATTTTGAATTATGACCCTGTCCTCCAAAGCAGTTGCTATCCCTCCCAGTTTGGTATCATCCGCAAACTTAATAAGCGTACTTTCTATGCCAATATCTAAGTCGTTAATGAAGATATTGAACAGAGCCGGTCCCAAAACAGACCCCTGCAGAACCCCACTCATTATGCCTTTCCAGCAGGATTGGGAACCATTAATAACAACTCTCTGAGTACGGTTATCCAGCCAGTTATGCACCCACCTTATAGTAGCCCCATCTAAATTGTATTTGCCCAGTTTGTCGATAAGAATACCATGCGAGACCGTATCAAATGCCTTACTAAAGTCTAGGTATACCACATCCACTGCTTCTCCCTTATCCACAAGACTCGTTATCCTATCGAAGAAAGCTATCAGATTGGTTTGACATGATTTGTTCTTTACAAATCCATGCTGGCTGTTCCCTATCACCTTGCCACCTTCCAAGTGTTTGCAGACGATCATTTTACAAGTTCACAATTTGCAGATAAGTAGAGGCTAATGCGAACTTTCCACCATTGCCAGTAAAGATGAGATCATAGTAATAAGCCAGCACAGCTTGTGAAAGAGTAAAAATTGTGACTTTCTGTCCTTTCACCAATATCTGAAAGGATTAAGGTAGATAAAGGTGGAAACGGTGTATATAATTTATTAAAGACTTTTACAGGTTTTTGATGGTCCTAAGCAAATGGTTAGGGAAATGTTGTTGTTACCAAGGGGTAAAGAGTGAACTCCTGTCACTCATCTCTTACCTAGTCTTTAGGGAAACACAAGAGAGTGCATCAGTAATTCCCCTTGTGGTGTGCCAGAGCCTGGGCTCCTTCACAAGCCTAAATTCCCACATTGCTATTTTTAGCCCCACAGTGTGAGCCTGAGTCAAATGACCCAGGCTCTGAGACTTGCTGCCATGGGTCTTTTATAGCTGTAGAGACATTCCTTAAGTGAGCCGAACCAGCTGGCTTAGTTCAGAGCAGCTTCTAAACTGGTGCGTCAGAGAGCCAAATGAGCCAGAATTGGCTACCTGACGGCGTCCTCCCTCTCTGTGCCCTGTTGTTGTCATAAATCCATGAAATTTGGATACTTCATTCAGTTCTGAGAATCTTACTTCAAAGAAAAGGGATTACACTTGCTGAATAAGAATAGAATCTGCATTTACATTAGCTGGGATATAAACTGATCACTAGCTGGTGTCAGGAAGAATTCCTCTTTCAATCAACCTCCTCAGCTGTGTGGTACAGTATCACACATTTGTCCATGTTTGTTATGAGAACTTGCTTTCTTCAGAAATCATGTGATGTAAGCCACTGTCTAAGACGGGCTATTGTGCAGATGTGGCAATTCCCACATACACGTGAGAGTTGATACACTGCCAGATACACTAGTTACTCTGAATTCACTTCTTGACAGCTTCCATATTATGGATATACAAGAGGTCTGGTAAAATAATTTTTCATCAGAAAACCATGACTATATATGGTAAACAGTCAGCATGGTGTGCAGAGATTAAGCAGCATAACTGGCTTCCCAAAGGGGCCAAACCATGACTTCCATAGCAACTCTATTACTGTATTTTAGTTGGGACTCTTAAGCCTATTCACAGGCTTAAAATAAACTGAATTACTGATTGTTTCCTCACTTTTGAGAGATTGTTGAATACACAGTTTCTTGTCCCTGGTTTTATGATGAAACCAGGTTGGTAGTTAATGATAGAACATTGACCTGCACTCTGAATTTGCTGGAGTTTATGGCCTTTTAAATAGAAATTAAAAATACAATTAGCAAACATTAAGAACTGGACCAAAACCAGTTTTGAGGTTTGACTTGGTAGAGTCAGGCTCTCCAGGATGTGCCAGGCAAACATCCTATATCAGGCATGCACCACACTGCTGTGAGGGAACTAACTGCTGGCTGGATCCCATGTGCTTTAAGCCTCTGGACCTCCGAGTCCAGGCACTGCCGCATCTTGAAGAGCCTAGGCACTCTCTTGGGTGCTGATCTTCCTGAGAGCATGGATCCTGTGGTCCAACTGCCTAGTTCCTGGGACTAGGGCTGACTCCTCAGACTCCCCTCCATCCCCCCATCTTAAACACACCCTCTCTGAGAATTCCAGTAGTGTGGGTGTTTTGGGGGTCACAGGTTAACAAAAACCACACACAGAGACTTTGGACAGGATTCTAACGCCATCACTGTTTAAGTGCACAAGAAATACACAGATCTGTACAAAAATAATAAACTCTACACTCCTTTCCCTTTCCTCACCACTCTGGAGGAGAGAATTCACAAGTTGTACAGACAGATTCCCCAAATCTTCACACCCTTCTTGCTCACTTACCCCTTCAATTTCTCCAGTACTTGCCTTGCCTGTTCGGGAGAGGCCTTGGCTACACTGGCGCTTTACAGCGCTGCAACTTTCTCACTCGGGGGTGTGAAAAAACACCCCCCTGAGCGCAGCAAGTTACAGCGCTGTAAAGTGCCAGTGTAAATAGTGCCCCAGCGCTGGGAGCCGCACTCCCAGCGCTGTAAGCTAATCCCCTCGGGGAGGTGGAGTACCTGCAGCGCTGGGGGAGCTCTGGCGCCGCGACCACACTCGCACTTCAAAGCGCTGCCCCGGGAGCGCTCCCGCGGCAGCGCTTTGGAGTTTCGAGTGTAGCCAAGTCCAGAGAGCTGAAGTTTGAGGAGAGTTTGATAGAGGGCTAGGGGATTATTTATTGTCCATTATTGCAGGAAGAGAAGAAATCCAAACTATTACTAGTTCAGATAAGCCTTTGAACTTTTGAGCTTAATTTAAGGGAAGCTTCAAAATGTGTTTCACCCATTGCTAATTTCAAATCTGTCCCAATGTTGTTTAAAGGAGTATACTGAAGTAGACTGTCTTTTCATAAAAAATTGTGAAAAGTTCTCAGGTGATCGGCTGGAGAGAGTATTCCAGATTCTAAAGATCTAGTTTATTTCTAAACTGTTGGAAAAATTCATAACAAAAACAAGCTTTTGGGGAGATGGAGGGAAGAGGAGGAAGGTTCATAAACTGTGGCTGCCTCATTAGAGCCACTGCAGCCTGTCTGTGTCTCTGCAAAATGAAAACAAAGGGTTTTGGATCAGGCCCTAAATTCTCATTTAGGAATAGATGTTCAGATCATATGATTTTTTTCTTTTTCTTTTTAAGCAATGCAGCTCTCATTAACCATAACTCCTACATGTAGTAAGATTCTGCCTTTTAATTTTTTTGTACTAAGTGATAAGAATGTAAGACTGTCTCATGAATGAATTATGGAAGAAATATACTGAGTGTTAGCAATATAAGAGAAAAGTATAAAATAGCAGTAAAAAAAAAACAAAAACCTAGTTTGACCATATTGCTGATTAATCATTTTCTAAGCTAAATCTGTCAAAGCATCTTCTGAGGGATTCTCATGGCCAAACACAGAAAGTAGATACAGTATAAAATGGTCATATTTACATCATTAAACTTTTATCTAAAGTAATTATCAAACACCGCCAACATTTAAAATTACAAACCACTGAAATAAATGTGTGCTGAAATTTGCTTGGTCTCGCTATAAATCTTTCAAATTATGCATGCATGTATGTTTAAAAAGGAGCACTGCCCCAGAAGTGAAATTCTTGCCCTATTGAAGGCAATGGCAAAACATACACTGATTTAAATTTGTTGGAATTTTAAGTTGTATCATGGGCACCTAGGATGGAATCCTGGCTCCATTTTATACCCTAATATAGCTAAAGTGCAACAGTGGTCATAATTGTTGGTTCATATTAAAAAAATTGTCAATAAGTTGGACAAGTTTCCCTATTTTATTTAGTTGTATTTTTGTGGGATGTTTTTATGCTCCTGTCAGCTGCTCTGACAACCATTTTTGATAGCCTTTTTGTTACTCTCAAAATAAATTGAGAGATTAGGGACTGTATATATTTAAAGGCTCCCTGCAAAGCAGTAAGATTGTGTCCCTTTTTTGCTGTGTTAAAATATATTTTGTCTCATTTTTGTATTAGTAGTAGTATCGAGTCTGATTTACGTTGTTTTTGCTGGAAGACTCCGTGGGTGATTGGTGAAACACGGGGAATGACACCAGGGGTGAAAGTAAGTTAGGCCACTTACTGGTATGAGCCCGGGGAGGCTCCAGCCCCTAGAAGGGGCGGGGCTGGGGGTCAGTATCCCCCAACCAGCCCTTTCAGGCCGCCTGGCCCATGCCGCCTGGGGTTCCTGTGTTGATTTAAAGGGCCCGGAGCCCCGGGCCCATTTAAATCGCCAGCCCCAGGGCAACTGCTCACTTTGCCTCCCCACCCCCCGCCCATCGGAGGCTGCGGGGGGGGGGGGGGGAATGGAGCAGAGACATTAAAGCGCTGCAGGGCCCTTTGCCGCGGCAGCGCTTTAACGTTGCTGTGCAGCAGTGCAGGAACGTTAAAGCGCTGCCGTGGCAAAGGACCGTCCTTAAAGCGCTACCGGAGCAGTGCTTTAATGTCCCTGCCCCTTTTGCCTCCCCTGTCAGCGGCCCTGCCAGTACGGACCCTACCAGCAGGGCCGCCGACGGCGGGAAGGGGCAGCGACGTTAAAGCTGCAGCAGCGCTTTAATGTGGGCTGGGTATGGGCTGGTGCGGGTTCTTACCGGTACGGAGTACCGGCCTGTACCAGCTCACTTTCACCCCTGAATGACATATCACTAGAAATTAGTTGACAGGGAAAGTGTTTATTATGTAGAAGTAGTAAGGAGGGATAGAAAAGCATTGTTTTTTGTCATATAGTGTTGACATCAGGTTAATGTGTTAGGGTTTTTACCACAACTGTTTCCTGTTTTTTCCAGAAATGTAGATAAAGCATAACTCTTACCCAAAAACTGTGTGAAGAACACAGAGCTACTGCAGTTATTCCAAATATCTAAAGTACAGAACTATTTGAATTTGCTACTGTTGTAGTTGTTTATTTTAAATCTTGCTAAGAAAAGTCATTTCTTTCCATCCTTAGGCATTGACTGTTTAGATAATGTTTCTCTTTTTGTAATTTCTCAGAAGTTGGTGGCTCTCCAGTATCTGAGATTGAAGGCCCTTTCACAACAGCAGATATAGCAAGCAACTGTGTCGCCACAATGACCTTGCACGAACCGATGTTGTGGATTATCTCTTATGCTCTCATGAGCTTATGTGGAATCATCCTCCTTGTTTTGATAATCTTACTGCTTCTTCCACCTCGCTGTCAGCATCGCTTCACTGACAATGATGTAGTCAATGACGAGTCATCGTTAGTGCGTCATCGATGGAAATGAGGAACTTGATCAAAGTCAAGGAACCTTGGATTCTCTTAACACAATTAAGGATAAAGTTTCCAACCCTGGAGAGAAAGCCAAGGCCTTGTTCCGTATACATTAATCTCAAATCACTGTTCTACTGCTGGATACTCTCCAGGCATATTGCATCATAACTTTTACGCTTTATTTTCTAACACTGATTCTGAACCAAAACATTATAACTACTCTCAAGTGCTACCTTACTGGTTCTGCTCCTCAATAGCACAGCTGAACCTTTAAGATCTCAGTAGTGCGTTTAAA